TTAAAATTTGTATTGCTCATCAGAGGCATTTCCCACTTTCAGAATCTTTCAGTTAGAAGACGAAACATGGAAAACGTGCTGAGTGCCATGAAAAGTAATTGAATGAGTAAGAGTGCAAATAATGAACAATGTTTACCAACAAGCTCGTTCCTAATATTTGTTCATTACCCTCACCTTCATTAAAGAGCCACCTGCTTTTTCCTCAGTGTTTATTCTGTGCATTTAAAAGATCTAGGGCTTAGATAGGGAATTACATACTCAGATGTAATTTGCCTTGATTGTGTACACTGATGTAAATTATTCTGAGATCAGACAGGATCCAGATAAGCAACTATACTAGGGAAGGTGAGCACAATAGGCAACTATTGTATCATTTCACCAGTAGGTATATAGTCTATGGTAAATTCTCCTGGAATCCTGGAACACACAAAGCCCCAAATGCAAGCAACAATTATTTGACATAGGAAGGTAGGAAGTAATGGTAGGGATTTATTAGATAATAATATCCCTTCCTATTCAGCACTATAGCAAAGCTCCATCAGGATTTTAAAGGTAGAGTTGTTGTAGGTGCTGGATTTTGAATGAGATGTAAAATCCTGATCACCTGTAGCCATTAAAGACTCTGTGGAGTTTTTTAAAAGCCTTAATGTCCTGGACAAATTCTACCCTGGTTAAATAAACTATTCTGATGGTGTAAATGGCCTTCAATTGAACTCTGTTGATTTAGACCAGCTAAAAATATGTGCAGATGTTACATTTAGATTGACCTTATTGTGGTTAGGTCCGTCTAAGTGCCTGTGGCAAGACTGAGCCCCAGGGGTGGCCATGACACCACCTGGAGGCTGTGTGGCTCCTGCCCTTCTGAGTCTGTAATGTAGCCCTTTCTTGGTTGCTCACCTGCCACATGCTGTTCTTATTGGAGATGAAGTAAGGGAGGTTGCCCACAGGCGTTAGAACAGTGGTCTCCAACCTTTTATGGTTAATATAACTTTTTGGCACCCCGAGATATACTGTGCCCCCCCCACCTGCTCCGCCCCTGCCC